ACGAGGATGAAATCATCCACGTAGACTAGGATGTAGAAGGGCTCAGAATGACGGCGGATGAAGAGAGTCGGGTCAGCAGTTGAAGGGTGGAAGTCCAGGGAGAGGAGGACTTCTTTCACCTTGTTGTGCCATTCGCGAGGGGCTTGCTTAAGGCCGTAGACGGGGCGATTCAGCTTCCAGACAGTGTTGGGAGGGAAATCTCCTGGGAAGCCTTCTGGTCTGTCCATGAACACTGTCTCCTTGAGACGTCCTTGTAGGAAGGCGGATGAGGCATCCATGGATTTGATCTCGAAGTCTTCTCGAGCTGCGACATCCATGAGCGTACGAATGGTGGGAGGTTTGGATGTGGGGGAGAAGGTTAGGAAGAAGTCGCGGTACTGCTGCTGGGTGAAGCCCTTGGCTACGTAGCGCGCTTTAAACACCGGTGCCTCGTCTGGGAGCTGTTTTACACGGAACAACCACTTGCCCCCGACGATGTTGACTCCTGGAGGTGGAGTCTCGTCGTCGAAGGAGTGGTTGCGGGTGAATGCTGCAATCTCCGCGTCCATGGCAGCACGCCATTTGGCAGAATGAGGGCCTGAGAGAGCCTCTTGGACGGTGAGAGGGATAGGGATGGTCGGGTTCTCCGCGAAGTTGAGGGAGGGTGAGCCAGTGATGTCGGGGAAGATGTGTGAGAGCTGAGGAAGGACTGCATGGAGATCACACAGTTCCTCATGCCTGTCTTCTAGAAGGGTAGAGGGCACATCCCCCCCAGCAGGAGGAGGCGGTGTGATCGCGGTGTATCGAAGAACCATCGCGAGTGGAAGAGTAGCGCGATGTGAGCGAGTGCCATGAGCCACCGGGGAAGAGGGTGGGGCTGGCGGGGTCGGAGAGGGTGACTTAGCAGGCTTGGGCGGGGGAAGGGGTCGCCGGCGGTACGTGATCAGCTCGGGCGACTGTGGGAGAGCGGGTTCCTCTGTGGTGGGGGGAGCCGGGGGAGGAGGTGGGGCCGGAGGGTGGGACCGCCGATGGTAGGTGATAGGTGCGCTCGGAGGGGGCGGCGCAGCGGGAAGTGGGGAAGGTGAGGGGGAGGGAGGAGCAGCTGCCGAAGACACCGGTGAGGCCGGGTCAGTGACCTCAGAGGGAGATGGTGCGATGGCAGGAGAGGGAGGAGGTGAGGGAGCAGGAGCAGGCGGGAGGTCGGGAGGCGCATCAAAGTCTGCCCACACGAGGGAGGGTGGATCAGGGAGAGGGTCCCGTCCCGAAGGGGAGTAGAATGGGCGGGTCTCATCAAAGACAACGTCACGGCTCCTGACCAACTGGTGAGTGGAGGGATTGAGGAAGAGGTAGTCAGGTGAGTCGGCGTTGTGCCCGAGGTAGATGCACGTCTGAGTCTTGGGACCGAGCTTGCCACCGGTATGCCGTCGAGCCTGAGGGTTGAGGAGGACATAGGCGGTGCATCCCCAAACGCGAAGAGAGCGAGCAGTGGGCGTTTTCCCGAGCCAGAGTGTGGTTGGAGTGGTGTCGGGAAGGTGCGGGTGGGGGTAAAGGTTGTAGAGGAGGGCAGCGTGGTAGAGAGCGTACCCCCAAAGAGAGTGAGGAGCGTTGGAGTGGCTGAGGAGGCACCGAGTGATCTGCACCAGGGTGTGGTTGCGGCTCTCAGCTATGCCGTTCTGTTGAGGGCTGTCAGGGAGGGTGAAGTTTTGCTGGATGCCTTCGGAGGAGCAGAAGGCTTTGAGCTTGTCGTTGCAGAACTCACCCCCCCCATCCGAGTGAAGGCGCTTGACCTTGCGGTCAAAAGTGGTCTGTGCCTGCTTGACCCACGCTATGATGACCTCGGGTGCCTCAGCCTTAGTGTGGAGGAGGTGAACAGAGACATAGCGGGAGTGGTCATCCACAATGATAAGGAAGTAGCGATAGCCACCTCGTGCGAGAACAGGGGCAGGGCCCCAGACGTCCATGTGCACGAGGTCCAGTGGTGCTGCAGCGATTGTGGGTGAGGCAGCATGGGGCTGTTGGCGCAGTTTGCTCTTGGTGCAATCAAGGCACGTGGGAGCTGGTGAGTCAGGTGGTGGGGGAAGTGCGGCTGGCAGGCCGAGGAGAAGTTTCTTGGAGGCCATGTCAGCAAGAGTGCGGAAATTTGGGTGCCCGAGCCGATGGTGGTAGAGGATGGTCGGGTTGGAGAGGGTGCGACATGAGCATGGTGTGATAGTGGCCTGTGCTTGGGTGGTTGACACCTGTGGGAGAGGGACGCGTAGCGTGTAGAGGCCGTTGCTGTTGAGGGTGTAGCGGGCCAGAGTTTTGTTGGTGCGTGGATCGATGATGTCGCAATAGTCCTCGTTCTCTGGGAAGATGGTGCGTAGCCCTGCCTCCTGAATTTCTGTTTGGGCAACTAGATTGTGACGCAGTGAAGGCACGCACATGCCAGTGACAGTGCCGGATGGGAAGGCGGGGCATGGGACTGTGGAGGTACCCTTGGCGAGGGTGGTGAAGCTTGAGTCAGCTCCTAAGAGAGGGATAGGTGTTGGGTAAGGTTTGAAGGAGAGGGTCTCCTTGAGCACGGTGTGAGTGGCCCCGCTATCGAGTGTGAACTCTATGTATTGTGGTGCGTGTGATGAGCCGATGTACTGTGAGGTAGCTTCATTAATCATGGCAGTGCCAGGGAACAACAGGTTGATACGCACATCAGCAGGAGCAGCATCACTAGCACTAGTCGAAGCGGGGTCCTGGACCTCAACTAGGTTGGCCTTGCGAGAGCGCATCCAATTCGGCGGCTTCTTGTCCACTCCGTGAATGGCGTACCATTCGTCGTCTTTCTTCTTGAAGCACGTGGCGAGGGGGTGGTTAGTGCCACCACACACTTGTCCCTTGCGATTCCCATACTTGACGACGTAGGGGCACGGAGGAAAGCGGTTGCGCTGGAAGGGCGCCGAGGCGAGAGCCGCTGCGACACTTGCTTGAGGCATGGGAGCGCGGATAGCGTACGCCTTGGCCTGAGCCGTGGAGTCTTTCTCAGCAAAGAGGAGTGCGGTGGAGACCTTAGCAAAGGTGAGGTCCTCTGCTGAGAGTGTGAGGAGCATCTTCCTCGTGACCTCATATGCCGAGGTGAGTCCAACAAGTAGGGCGGCTGCAGGGGCTTGCTCGGGGAAGACTATACCCAGCTCCTTGAGTTCGCCATGAATGGTCTGCACCTTGGCAATGTAATCGGCCATTCCCGAGCAGTCCTCAAGGCGGACCTGAAACATGCTAGGGATGAGAATGGCCACGCCGTCTTGTTCATGAACCGATCCAGATGGCGTTGGAGGTAGGGTAGTTATGGAACGTGTTGACAAGTTCGGGAGGGGTGGAGGCGATGAAGACGCTGATGATGGCAGCATCGGCCTTCTCCCATTTCCGGTACTTCTCAACAGCCTCCTCGTACGCCCTCACGTCAGTATCACTTGGAGATTCGGTCGGCTCACGGGGAATAGTAGGCTGTTTCCCCTTGCCACGGTTGAGGAGGACGTCCTTGAGGTCAAGGCCCTGCACGTCACGGCTCAGGAGGTGCTTGTCAACTCCGTAGCTCCACGCCTTGAAGTTGGAGCTAGAGCCATCAGCTTCAAGGCGGAGCGGGGTGATGGGGTTCGCCATGGTGGAAGACGAGAGAGCCATGGTGGAGACCCCTTCTCGCGCGGAGCGCCGCTCTTAAGTCACCGATAGGAACTTCGACGGACCGGAATAGCGAAAATCGTCAATGTCGGCCGCGTCGGAATGTCACGTAGAAGGTTTTTTCTTTTTTTTTTCCTTTTCAGGCCGCCAAAATTAGGTCGAATCGGCCGATTTCCGTAGATCTATCACACATCCCCCCACACACCACCCTCGGCTTCGCGGCTACACGGCTGCTCTGCTTCGCGGCTACACGGCTGCTCGGCTGCGCTGCTGCACCTGTTCAGCTGCGGGAAGGGGGAAGGGGTAGGAGTGCAGATGCGGGGCGACGGGCGGCAGCCCGACGTGAAGCTGCGGGGCGACGGGCGGCGGCCCGACGAGAAGCTGCAGGGCGACGGGCGGCGGCCCGACGAGAAGCTGCGGGGCGACGGGCGGCGGCCCGACGTGAAGCTGCGAGGCGACGGGCGGCGGCCCGACGAGAAGCTGCAGGGCGACGGGCGGCAGCCCGACGAGAAGCTGCAGGGCGACGGGCGGCGGCCCGACGAGGAGGAAAGCGAGCGTTAGGTTATAGCGCGGACGATGCGCTTACCAGATAAATTACCGTCGAAAGTGACGGGAAGGTGCAGCGGGAAAATTTCCGCCGACGAATGTCGCGAATCACCGGCGACGAGGTTGACGATGGCTTCGCCGAGGTTTGCGGGACGAGTATCCGCAGAGGTAAGAAGATCACGATCCGCGTATGCGGTTGAAGGGCTCTGATACCATGTCAGAAATAGGCTTAGAAGCGATGCATTAGTAATGAGCTTGAAGCTCTTTAAGTACATCCAAGAGGGGTAGGAAAAGGATGGGGAAGGGAATCGGGGGCAATCTCTAGGGATTGGGGGTAATCCCAAGGCAATCTCCAATTGGTGGGTTGGAGATTGGTTGGAGATTACATTTGGGTTTGGTTGGGATGTAGGTGTACACCCAACCAAACACAATGTGCAAACTACACTACTCTAGGATATAGAAAATACAAAGTACAAATTGTGAGATTGAAGACTAACACTAACAATAACAGCTGCCCCTTTCACACTGTGAGTGGCACCTGCACAGCGTCAAGCAGTGTGCGCGGGATGCTCAAAGCAATTATTAAGTCGTCGAGAAACGGAACCTGCTCTATTCGAGCGAACTTACGTGTACAAGCACCACCTGTACCAGTTGCATAACACATGTTGCTGCACGCTTTGCTCACCAGCGATACGATACAAGCACCACATGGCCCATCCTCCACCCACCCACCCACCCACCCACCCACCCACCCACCCACCCACCCACCCACCCAGCCACTCAACCAGCCATACAGCCACTCAGCCTTACTCACCTGTGACACTCACCTGTGACACGAGCACCACGTGCTCTACTTTGCTGCCCTGCAGCAGCTGCGCCAACGAGCCAAGCTGATTGGAGCAGCACGGGGACAGTGAGGGGCAGAGATAGAAAAAAAGTGGTGAAGGGAAAAGGGAGGCATGGGGATGTGGGAGCCAGAGACAAGCAGAGGGGGTGGACAGAGCAGAAAGACATGAGAGCAAGAGACGTGAACCGGGAGTGAAGCGGCTATTGGCGTTGGGCCCCGCATGTGCTGCTGGCGACGTAACCTACCTGCCCCGTGACGACAACTGCCTGAGTGCCTCTCAGAGCAGCTCTCACTGCTGATTGGCCCGCCACCGACCCTGCTATGGGCTGCCGTGCATGGGGGTAGAATGGACGGGATGGAGAGCGTGGGTATGGGGAGGCACGGGAGAGAGGGGAGCGGTGATGAGTGAGAATCATTCGTGGGGAGCCGTTGAGGCATTCGGGCCGGACGTGGTTGGGGCGGACGTGGTTGGGGCGTTTGACAGCTCTACGAAAGGAGGGAGCGGGGAGCCACTCTGAAGAATGAACGCTGCCACAGGTGATTGCGATGGTGAAAGCAATCAATTGCACCCGTCAGCACCTACTGATAACCACCAGCACCCATTAGCACCCATCGGCAGCGCTGACCTGCACGTAGGGCCCGAATCCAACGGTGGCCTCCTTGGCGTCTTTCACGAGCACCCTCACCCTCCTGCGCGCCAATATGAGCTGCAACACCACCATCTGCAATGGGTGGGGTGGTGTGGAGAGGAGGAGAGGAAAGGGGAGGGAGTGGAAAGGGGAGGGGAAGGGAGGGGAGGGGAGAGGAGGGAATGAAAGGGGAGGAAGGGGAGTGGAGGGGAGGAAAGGGGAGGAAGGGGAGGAAGGGGAGAGGAGGGGAGGGGATGGAAAGGTGGGAGAGAATGAGGCTTACCGCGGTGACAGGCACAACACAATCTCTCTCCAGTGCAGCAAGATAAACTGCAGCGCCACCACCTGAAATGGAGAGGGGGCGGGGGGCGGGGGGTGGGTGGGGTAGGGAGAGTGGTAGGGTATGGTGGAGGAGTGCGGTTGGGTTGGGAGGGAATGAGGCGCAAAAACCCTCCTGCACAGCCATTACGACAATAGTGGGTGCCATGTGAGTGGAGCCGGGCACTTCTTGAAGATGGGGAAGGGAAGGGGGAGAGGCAGAGTATGGCGACGAAGGGGGAGGAGATGAGGGAGAAGGAGGGGGAGGGGGAGAAGGGGGGACCTGCCTCTCTCCCTCCCCCTCCTTCTCTCTTATCCCCTGCCCCTTCATCACCATACTCTGCCTCTCCCCCTTGCCCTCCCTTCCCATCTTCAAGAAGCAAATGGATGCATTTCAAGAAGCAAATGGATGCATTTCAAGAAGCAAATGGATGCATTTCAAGAAGCAAATGGATGCATTTCAAGAAGCAAATGGTTGCATTTCAAGAAGCAAATGGGTGCATTTCAAGAAGCAAATGGGTGCATTTCAAGAAGCAAATGGGTGCATTTCAAGAAGCAAATGGGTGCATTTCAAGAAGCAAATGGGTGCATTTCAAGAAGCAAATGGGTGCATTTCAAGAAGCAAATGGGTGCATTTCAAGAAGCACGGAGCGGAAGAGGGGGCACGAGGGAGAATGAGGGAGCGCATGTGAGTAGGTAAGGAGTTTCCTTACAAGCCTTTCACACAAAGGTGAGTAAAATGTCGATTGAATCTGGCCGATTCCGCAATCAAGCAACCCCAAACCCTCCCTTCCGCTCCTTTCTGTATGATCATGTGAGCACCTGATGGGCATGGCTGATGTGAGCACCTGATGGGCATGGCTGATGAGAGCACCTGATGGGCATGGCTGATGAGAGCACCTGATGGGCATGGCTGATGAGAGCACCTGATGGGCATGGCTGATGGGAGCACCGAAACGACACCAGCCAAAGGTCAGCAGTCACCTGAGAATCACCTGAGAATCACCTGAGAATCACCTGGCCTGTGTCCGAGTCAGCATCTGTGACCAACACTGCATCCCCTGCCTCCTCTTCCTCTTCCCCCTCCTCCGCCTCCTCTTCCCCCTCCTCCTCGTCTGTGCGGAATGGAGCGTTCAAGGTGTGGAGGGATGGGATGGAAAGGGGGCGATGCTGACTGGTGATTGCACGTGGAGGGCAACACTGGGAAGGCGTGAGTCCACCCACTCCTCACATCGATGCAACTGGTGGTAGAGTGCCAGTGTACCTTTCACGTGCACCATAGTAGTTGAGTCGCAACCAGCATGCTTCACACACACCCAGTCACTCCGCCGCACCCAATTCTACCCCATCCCACCCGACCCCACCCGACCCCACCCACCCACGCCTCACCAGCGCCATCCCTGGGCAGAGTGTCCGCTGCGCCGTACCACCGCCTTAGCTTCGGGCCGCCTGGGATGGGATCGTGGCAGGCAGCCACGTCATGCGCGCATGGCGGGAGGGGGGGCGCGGGGTGGACGGGCGGGCAGGGGGAAGGAATAGCGGGTGAGGGCAGTGCAGGGAAGGGCGTCGGGGGAAGGGCAGGGGAGACGGAGGCGGATACAGCAGGAGGAAAGCGGTGAGGGGGTGTGGAGGGGAGGCGGAGAGTGTGTACCACGTGAGCACCCTCATTGAGGGAAAGAGAGAGAGGGAAACGAGAGGGAAACGAGAGGGAAACGAGAGAAATGGCGCCGCCCGTACAGCTCATGCCTGGGGAATGTATGAGGTGTCTCACGTCAGCTGAAGGCCTTGGCCTTGCAGGATTGTCGGCCATTGCTGGTTATCTGACGTCAGCAGAAGGGGACATTATGTGGGTTCCTTAAATTTCTTGCTCCCTCCCGTTATCCCCAATATTATATCGTTTCTTAAGCACACCTTCGATATAGTCAAGAATCTGATCGCCGAAGGACGGCCCTTGCTTTCCCTTCCGCTGCCCGCCGCCGTCCTCCCCTCCACGCGCGCGCACGCGCACGCCCGCACTAGCCCCGCGCCGACTGCGCCGACTGCGCTCTATCAGCGGAGCGCCTGCGCGGAAAGAAGAATTGCTTCGCAAGCAGATGTTCCTACATAGAAGCGAAGTTGTCTCACAAACGTGAGAGCCAGAAGCGAGCGGTCTCGCTGCAACGGGCAGCGCTGCAGCGGCAGCGGCAGTGGGAGCCATCAAGCGACAATCTCTCGAATCGCGGAGGCTTTAAGCGGAAGAAACCCGTGCGGACGTACGGACCAATCTGCTGGCGTTTCTGCGAGCTTGCTAGCCGCAGCTATCGCAGTTTGCGCGGCATAATGCGCGCCACTGAAAGTGCAACGCTCCACTGTACGCGGCATGATAATTTTTTCTAACGTGCCGGTACTTGAAACATCGATTCGTTCCAAAGGTTTCCCAACAAGCATGCTAACATTTGATTTGATTTAAAATAACCGGCACCTATCGTGAAGCGGGCTTTCAACCTACATGACTGCACATGTTTTCAAAGCCTACACCCCAAACGCCCCTGAAGAAAATCATTCTGGTGTTAAATTTATTTACAGCCCCCTTTTTATTATTGGCAGGGGTAACCCCTGCTTTGCATTTTGCAACTACACCAAAGGTGCAGCCAAGACTTGGTAACCAGCAGAAGCCGCGGCGGCAGGGGAACAATCAGGAGATGAAGCAGGAGCCGGCAAAGTTGCAGCAGGAAAAGGAGGGCGTTGGGGTTGGGTGCGAGGTGCCTCCTTGCCGAGTGAAGAGGAGAGGTGGAAGTTCCAGAAGATGGCGCAGCATGACATGAAGGCCACCCGCGCCTCTAATGGCACCACTCTGTGGCGGGTATGGAGAAAGAAGTGCGGAGGAAACGGAGCAGTGATGGGGAGAAGAAGCAGAGAGAGCAGCAGACGTGTACATGTGGTTGAAGCGCAATAGGGGGCTGCAGGCATTGCTGGCAGGAGGAACGAGAAGGTGGAAACACAGAAATTTGGAAAGGGAGAGGGGAAGTTGAAGGGCAAGCGAGAAGAAGGGGAGGGAAAGCAGGATGAGGCTTACGCGAAGTTGAGGCAGGTGGCCGGAATCCAGAACTTGTAGCCTGATGGTGAGGAGATGCACCGACAGACATGGCGAGACATGGCGAGACATGGCGAGACATGGCGAGACATGGCGAGACATGGCGAGACATGGGGAGACATGGCGAGACATGGGGAGACATGGCGAGACATGGCGCCACATGTTGCATTCCAGGGAGAAGTGCAAAAATGTTTGAACCAGCTTATATGCTCGGGAACGGAGGGCTGAGTAGGCGCACACAGGAGTACCAAGGGATTGAAAGGAGTACTAAGGGGTACCAAGAATCTATCTAGATACAAACATGAACGAGCAGTAGAAGAACTGGCCAGGCCATGACGAAGACAGTATTCTACCAGACGAGACGGGAGTCAACCACCGTACCCTTGATGAGCGAGGGGAAGAAGTCCCGACGGTACTTGTCTGGGATGTCCCTGGCACGACCCATCCATGCCATGTTCCATGCGAACACCACCAGCAGCACACTCGGCCCCACCACCACCTGATTCGCCAGCACCTGTACAAAAGAGGTGGGAAGAAAGAGAGGAGGAAGAAGAGCAGGAGGAGCAGAAGGAGGAGCAGCAGGAGGAGCAGCAGGAGGAGCAGCAGGAGGAGCAGCAGGAGGAGGGACGGCAAGGCGAGGGTGAGCTCTGCTGGTGGAGACTTTGGCTCTTGGTGTGATTCCAGCCACTGCCACTGCCACCCACAGGCGCTACTGGAGCCACACAGCAGATTCGGTAACATCGGGGCACATGGGATGTGCTTGTAGCGAAGCGAGAACAAGGAGGTGCTTTGGAGAGGCTGGAGCCACTTGGATTGGAGAGGAGCTCCGTATGAGCAGGCAGCAGCCAGTCAGTCCAGCTTCCACTACCCCCAGCAACACCCGACCCCCCCGGTACCCCCCCGAACCCCTGGTACGGACAGTAGAGCGAGCAGAGAGTGAGTGGGGGAGGGGCGCACCTTGAGGGCGAAGTTGGTGGCGGTGGAGGAGGGCAGCAGGTGGTCCAGCCAGCGGTACCAGGCGTGGCAGCCGGGGCCGTACAGCAGGAAGCCGTACGACGCCATGCGTAGAGCGCGCACCCAGTCATGCTGTTCCACCCCCTCGACTGCCGCCACCGCGTGCTGCTCATGCAGTGTGGTGCGGGCAGCAGCGTGCGCCTGCTGCTGCTGCTGCTTCCGCTGCTGGCGGGTGCGGCGCTCCACGAGCTGCGCCAGGGTGTCGCCCGCCAGCGCCAGCCCGCTTGCCGTTGCCGCCGCCTTCAGGGGGAAGCGCTGCGAAGGATGGGGAAGGCGGAATGGGGAGTGTGGGGAGGTGGAAAGGGGGAAGAAAGAAAGGAGGAAGGGGAAGGGGAAAGAGGGAATCGGAAGGGGAAAGAGGGAATCGGAAGGGGAAAGAGGGAATCGGAAGGGGAAAGAGGGAATCGGAAGGGGAAAGAGGGAATCGGAAGGGGAAAGAGGGAATCGGAAGGGGAAAGAGGGAATCGGAAGGGAAAGAGGGAATCGGAAGGGGAAAGAGGGAATCGGAAGGGGAAAGAGGGAATCGGAAGGGGAAAGAGGGAATCGGAAGGGGAAAGAGGGAATCGGAAGGGGAAAGAGGGAATCGGAAGGGGAAAGAGGGAATCGGAAGGGGAAAGAGGGAATCGGAAGGGGAAAGAGGGAATCGGAAGGGGAAAGAGGGAATCGGAAGGGGAAAGAGGGAATCGGAAGGGGAAAGAGGGAATCGGAAGGGGAAAGAGGGAATCGGAAGGGGAAAGAGGGAATCGGAAGGGGAAAGAGGGAATCGGAAGGGGAAAGAGGGAATCGGAAGGGGAAAGAGGGAATCGGAAGGGGAAAGAGGGAATCGGAAGGGGAAAGAGGGAATCGGAAGGGGAAAGAGGGAATCGGAAGGGGAAAGAGGGAATCGGAAGGGGAAAGAGGGAATCGGAAGGGGAAAGAGGGAATCGGAAGGGGAAAGAGGGAATCGGAAGGGGAAAGAGGGAATCGGAAGGGGAAAGAGGGAATCGGAAGGGGAAAGAGGGAATCGGAAGGGGAAAGAGGGAATCGGAAGGGGAAAGAGGGAATCGGAAGGGGAAAGAGGGAATCGGAAGGGGAAAGAGGGAATCGGAAGGGGAAAGAGGGAATCGGAAGGGGAAAGAGGGAATCGGAAGGGGAAAGAGGGAATCGGAAGGGGAAAGAGGGAATCGGAAGGGGAAAGAGGGAATCGGAAGGGGAAAGAGGGAATCGGAAGGGGAAAGAGGGAATCGGAAGGGGAAAGAGGGAATCGGAAGGGGAAAGAGGGAATCGGAAGGGGAAAGAGGGAATCGGAAGGGGAAAGAGGGAATCGGAAGGGGAAAGAGGGAATCGGAAGGGGAAAGAGGGAATCGGAAGGGGAAAGAGGGAATCGGAAGGGGAAAGAGGGAATCGGAAGGGGAAAGAGGGAATCGGAAGGGGAAAGAGGGAATCGGAAGGGGAAAGAGGGAATCGGAAGGGGAAAGAGGGAATCGGAAGGGGAAAGAGGGAATCGGAAGGGGAAAGAGGGAATCGGAAGGGGAAAGAGGGAATCGGAAGGGGAAAGAGGGAATCGGAAGGGGAAAGAGGGAATCGGAAGGGGAAAGAGGGAATCGGAAGGGGAAAGAGGGAATCGGAAGGGGAAAGAGGGAATCGGAAGGGGAAAGAGGGAATCGGAAGGGGAAAGAGGGAATCGGAAGGGGAAAGAGGGAATCGGAAGGGGAAAGAGGGAATCGGAAGGGGAAAGAGGGAATCGGAAGGGGAAAGAGGGAATCGGAAGGGGAAAGAGGGAATCGGAAGGGGAAAGAGGGAATCGGAAGGGGAAAGAGGGAATCGGAAGGGGAAAGAGGGAATCGGAAGGGGAAAGAGGGAATCGGAAGGGGAAAGAGGGAATCGGAAGGGGAAAGAGGGAATCGGAAGGGGAAAGAGGGAATCGGAAGGGGAAAGAGGGAATCGGAAGGGGAAAGAGGGAATCGGAAGGGGAAAGAGGGAATCGGAAGGGGAAAGAGGGAATCGGAAGGGGAAAGAGGGAATCGGAAGGGGAAAGAGGGAATCGGAAGGGGAAAGAGGGAATCGGAAGGGGAAAGAGGGAATCGGAAGGGGAAAGAGGGAATCGGAAGGGGAAAGAGGGAATCGGAAGGGGAAAGAGGGAATCGGAAGGGGAAAGAGGGAATCGGAAGGGGAAAGAGGGAATCGGAAGGGAAAGAGGGAATCGGAAGGGGAAAGAGGGAATCGGAAGGGGAAAGAGGGAATCGGAAGGGGAAAGAGGGAATCGGAAGGGGAAAGAGGGAATCGGAAGGGGAAAGAGGGAATCGGAAGGGGAAAGAGGGAATCGGAAGGGGAAAGAGGGAATCGGAAGGGGAAAGAGGGAATCGGAAGGGGAAAGAGGGAATCGGAAGGGGAAAGAGGGAATCGGAAGGGGAAAGAGGGAATCGGAAGGGGAAAGAGGGAATCGGAAGGGGAAAGAGGGAATCGGAAGGGGAAAGAGGGAATCGGAAGGGGAAAGAGGGAATCGGAAGGGGAAAGAGGGAATCGGAAGGGGAAAGAGGGAATCGGAAGGGGAAAGAGGGAATCGGAAGGGGAAAGAGGGAATCGGAAGGGGAAAGAGGGAATCGGAAGGGGAAAGAGGGAATCGGAAGGGGAAAGAGGGAATCGGAAGGGGAAAGAGGGAATCGGAAGGGGAAAGAGGGAATCGGAAGGGGAAAGAGGGAATCGGAAGGGGAAAGAGGGAATCGGAAGGGGAAAGAGGGAATCGGAAGGGGAAAGAGGGAATCGGAAGGGGAAAGAGGGAATCGGAAGGGGAAAGAGGGAATCGGAAGGGGAAAGAGGGAATCGGAAGGGGAAAGAGGGAATCGGAAGGGGAAAGAGGGAATCGGAAGGGGAAAGAGGGAATCGGAAGGGGAAAGAGGGAATCGGAAGGGGAAAGAGGGAATCGGAAGGGGAAAGAGGGAATCGGAAGGGGAAAGAGGGAATCGGAAGGGGAAAGAGGGAATCGGAAGGGGAAAGAGGGAATCGGAAGGGGAAAGAGGGAATCGGAAGGGGAAAGAGGGAATCGGAAGGGGAAAGAGGGAATCGGAAGGGGAAAGAGGGAATCGGAAGGGGAAAGAGGGAATCGGAAGGGGAAAGAGGGAATCGGAAGGGGAAAGAGGGAATCGGAAGGGGAAAGAGGGAATCGGAAGGGGAAAGAGGGAATCGGAAGGGGAAAGAGGGAATCGGAAGGGGAAAGAGGGAATCGGAAGGGGAAAGAGGGAATCGGAAGGGGAAAGAGGGAATCGGAAGGGGAAAGAGGGAATCGGAAGGGGAAAGAGGGAATCGGAAGGGGAAAGAGGGAATCGGAAGGGGAAAGGGGAAAGGGGGAATGGGAGAGGGAGGGGATCGGGTAAAGGAAATGCGGGGAAACTGGTTGGGGGGGTTTCTTGAATAGTGTCAGGAGAAGGGGGAGGAGGAAGGGGAATGTGGACAAAGGAATGGAGATGGAGGGATGGTGCTGTCGCGTGATAGGGCAGCAAATCGAGCAGTGGTTAGGGAAAAGAAGAACAAGGAGCTGGGATGTGTCGTGAGAGGAAACAAGGCGTGATTCTAAGAGCAGGAGGGTGGATTTGACGAAACAAGTTGAAGCAGGTAAATTGAGGATGGTCCAACCCCAATCACCTGAATTGGTGCACCGCACGGCACTACCGCCACGCCTCGGTTGCCCTCCCTCCCACCCAATCACCAAACCCACCTCAAGCAACGACCCAGATTGAGCTTTCTTCCACGATGGCTCGTCCAACGACTGAGATGCGTCCAATGTGCTGCAGGGAAAACGGACGCGACGGGATAGAGTAGGTTGGCTGTGAAGAAGGGGAAGGAGAAGCAGCTGGCGGCGCAGGTTTGCAAACAAACGACGCAACAACAAGAAGTCAACCCATCCCAAATGTCGGACAGGGGCCAAGCCTCGGCTTCTAGGCGCGGGCCGAACCAACCTCACCTGGCTCGGAGGCGGTGTCTGCCGTGCTGCCAAGAGGCAGTCAGCGAGGAGAGGAGCGAGAGCGACAGGCCGTGCGAGAGCGAGCAGGAGAGCGCTGCTGGCGGGCGAACGCGGAGAGCGTCTGAGGAAGCGTTGACCGCATTGACTGCGTTGACTCCGTTAAAGGGGTTGAACGGTACGCCGCTGGATGCAGCCATCGCGGCGAAACGATTTAGGGTTACCACCGGTCTGGGCGTGGTCGCAGAGCTCGTGGCACGAATCACCACAACGCAACGGCCTGACGCGCGAGTAATTTCCACCGAATTGTCTCAGCACTCGCCGGACACCCGTTTTCCAGGTTCCTAAACACTGAAGCTTTGGCGGGGAAAATTCGGCGGGGAATTGAAATCGTATGGCGCGCGGTCGTGGAGTGACAGCACGGCCTGAAACGAGAAACGGTCTCAAGGGGGAGCAGCATGGCCTGGCCTCCACCGCTCTTCACTGCAGCCTGCAGGAGCGACGACATGGCAGCTCGCCCACGCAGCAACTGCCGCATGTCGCACCGCCGCACCGACATTTTTCCCGTCCTTGCAATAACGGGGGAAAAGACCTTGCCTTGGCAGCAGGCAAGCTCGCTCTTCCATGAGCAATCCTGCGCCACTCGAGTTGAATCTTGGATGCTATTCGTTACTCTCAAACTCACATTGCTATGTGACTGGCAGCGGTGAGGTAACTGTTGACGCTTGACGTTTTCAGGGCAGCGGCTGTAAGTAGCATCCTGGCTGGCGAGGCGAGCAAGATGGGTGCAAGGGCTGACCATATGTTTGAGAAACCCGATACTCGCTACTGGCTCGATGTGGTACACGCGCCTAATGCCAAAATTTAAGAGTAGCGTCAGGTTCTCTTTACACATAAGTTTTACAAGCTAACACACCTTACATTTTTATCCAAACAACAATTGTCACTGCCACACGAAGTCATTGCACCTATATGGGGCCCACGCAGGCAGGGCGGTGCAACAGATGCTCCACCTGTGGTTGTGCACAATAAAAATGCAGGCTTGCGGGCGGCTTGCACTGACCCAGGGGCAGCTTGAAATCCTCAGTCGGCGTGTGCTCAAACAGCAGAGGACGACGATGTCCTGCTGGTGCTGCTGCAGTGAGAAGGAGCTCATCCAGAAACCATAATGCAGATCCACTTGAATCACCATGCTGACACGGAACTTGCATTCGCTCCCTGGCGTTAGTCAGGTGAACAGCTTGGGTCAGCATGAGAAAAAAACAGCAATGAGCAGGAAGGGCAGGCATCACTGATGGCTGATTCAGGAAACAGCATGGTGCTTTCCTGCATCCACCTCCTTTCCTACAATACCCCATCAGCAATACCCCATCAGCAATACCCCATCAGCAATACCCCATCAGCAATACCCCATCAGCAATACCCTGTCAGCAATATCCCATCAGCAATACCCCATCAGCAATACCCCATCAGCAATACCCCATCAGCAATACCCCATCAGCAATACCCCATCGGCAATACCGCATCGCTAGTACCCTATCGGTAATACCCCATTGCCAGGCTTAATAGCAAACATAGCAGGCAAAGAAGGCATGGCAATGGCAATAGAGAACTGCCTTGAGGAAATGAAAATGGAAATTTGAGTGCATTCAACCGGAAACATGGCAATGAGAGCATAACAGAGGGAACATGGCAGTGGGACAATTTCTGAGTTATGACAATGGGAAAAAGATAAGGATATGATGTCAATGAGAACACGACAGCATTGTCATAACTCCTACAAATGTTTTCATTCTCGTGCCAGTGGGAGTAACATGCACAACAGAACAACGACAAGCACCAAGGGGCCGTGCAAAACTGACGACCAGAAAAATGAAGATGGGGAAATAGAATGGGGAAATTGACATTGAGAACCTGAGAGTGAGCATGGGATGCCGATGGAGAGGGTGTGGAGAAGTGAGAGTTGAGAAATACGGTTGACAAGATGGGTATCACGGCACGGGAAAGCCTGTCTGAAGTAATGGCAACTACTCATCGCACAAGACTGCAAGCAAGCGTCAGTGACGATGGTGCTTTCCTCCACCCATCCCTGACCCCCTTTTCCCTCTCACCATATCCTTGCACACCGCTTTCTGGTAAGAAAGTAAGGACTGGCGATTCTGATGGGAGGCACTGAATGGCAGGTATGGCCCGGGGTTCCTTCCTGCCCCATGAGAGGGAGATGCCATGCCCGGGACTGAGTTTGCCTGGCTGCCTTTACATATGACTGAGATTACCATGCCATGGCATCACACGCAAGGCTGACATGCATTGGCTGAGCTACTTTGGCTGAGATGCTTTGGCTGACACGCATACACATTTCTCGCGTGCTTGCATGCACGGGGATGCATCGCAAAACGGAGAAATGGCTGAGCAAGAAAACGCTATGGAAATACAGAACTCTGAAGGCGACTGGACAAGATGACAATGGGTTGTTGATCAGGAAAACACGCATAGCAAGTTGGATGGACAAATGACAATGGGGAAAGCTCACTAGCAATATGGGGATGGGAAGTTGCCTCAAGAGGGCGGTGGGAAGTTGACCGAAAAGGGAAATGGTGAAATCATCAGAGGCAGCAGAGATGGCAATCAATGAGAAAATATGTCGCAAGCAAACCTGACAACATCGTACACTTAATATATTTGTCGCACCAAAGACAGAGCGAAGTTAGATGCACAGTGGGCAATATGAGAGGACTTGGCACGCGACAATGGAAGAAAGGTGACTGGCTGATCAAAATGCAGACATGAGTGAGAAGGTGGCAATAGGACGTTAACAAGGAGAATGGCAATGGGAAGTAGGGCTGGGATAGTGGGATGGGAGATTGAGTGAGATGGTAATTCACACCAGCCCTTCTATCCACATACCAGTTTCCTGTTAAGAGTTTTAGCAACTTTCGTTTTAAGTTTTTTCGCAACCTATTCGCCTATTGTCATATCCTCTGCTGCCTCTCATCCCTCCACCTCCCATTCTCTTTGCCACTCCAACCCCACCTTGCAAGGTCTACGCCATGCCTCATACTCCACTCACCATGCCCTCACTGCCTGACACCATGCTCCCCTTCCCTCTCACTGCTTGACACCATGCTCCACAACCCCACCCTCACTGCCTGACATCATACTCCATTCCCCCAACCTCACTGCCTGACACCATACTCCGTCCCCCCACCATCACTTCTGGTTACAATCAATACGTTCACGTTCTTCTGGTTTCATACTCCTTTAGCCAGGGAGTTGGTGCTCAGCAGGACTATTGCGTTCTTGCTGTGTTCATTGTTACCATTGCTGCCCTGCAATATCATTCTGAGCCATTATAGCTCATAAACCACCAAGAACTTCATTTTCACTGTTCCATCTGATGATGCTGTTCAGTCTAATAAATGTATTGATTCTAATTAGACAGCATTAACACATTTGAACAGAACCATGGTCAGCCAGCTTAATTGATGAATGAGACATTCTGATCTTTGTTGCTTATACTAATCAAACTAATTTTGACTCTTGTTCATGTTTATCCTGGTAATTGCTGCTAATTGTAACCGTTGTGACGCAGAGCCTTGACTATCGGCGCTGGTGTTTCTGTTCATGATCTTCAATGAAATGTTTCTGATCAAGCAGTAAGTCCTATCTCATCTCATTCCCCATTTTATGGTCTCCGTTCACCCGCATACCAAAGCATGGTAATTGATGCTTATATTAATTAGCATAATTGGACATGAATACTAAGACTAACGTGGCACACATTCCATTCCCTTCTCTCCATCCACCTTCATTCCATCTCTCCCACAACATCCTGCCAGGCAGGATGGAAAAAAGGGGGTGTACCCCTACCACCATCATTCCACATCACCCCCACCAGCTTTACCTTAGTTGCCATGGTGCCACTTATTCAAGGCTATGCTTGACCAAGCTCTACTCACCCACCTCCTCATCCGCCTTGTCCCTCTGGCCTTCACATTTGATGCCTTATTTGCTGTTGTCCCTTCCAATCTTACCTTTGCTGCATCATCCTTATCAGAAGTTGGCATTCGCCTTGACTTTATGTCAGAGTTCTTAGCAGCAGCTGCAGCAGTAGCAGCGTCAACAGGGACAACAGCAGCTGAAGCCTTTCTCAGGTTGGACAACCCAATGTTTTTTTCAGAGGTCTGGCATTTGTTGGAGCTTTTTTTCAATGAATCTTTTGTGCTGACTTTTACAGCAGGAGTTTTCACAGATGCGCAGCTTGTGCTGTTTGCACTGCTGGAGCTGAAGGTGCAGACCATCACGCTCCTGTTGCTCTTGTTAGCATCATTCTTACTGGCAGCAGTTTTTTCAACCATAATCCAAGGCGATATATTGCCTGTGGAAGCGAGAAACTCGTCCTTTGATAGGAAGGACACGTTTCCTTCATTGCTGCAGACGCTTTCGGGGTTAAGATACCGTTGACGGAATTCCAGCAGATCCAACTCGCTCATGTACGAGAATTCGTCTTCAGAATCCTCGGAAATTCGTGCCTTTTTCGCACTTGGAGCAGCAGCAGCAGGCGTGGATCGCTTGCGTGCTGCATCGCTCCAGCTGGGAGAGGCGGAAGCGGAGGCAGCAGGAAGATAGTGGCTTTTCAGTCCTGCTGGAACGCATCCGTGGTCCTCTTCCCAGTAGAAGAGGTCGTCGGGGTCAGCCTTGCTGCAGGCAGCGAGGGTTTTCACGGCCATCAGCAGTCAGATGCAAAGAAAACTTTGAGGCCTGAGGAAGGGGGTAGCAACGAGCTGTGTGAGTACAGAAAGTTGTGATACAAATGAAATGAAATGACTGTCAGGGGGGGATTTGTATTTGTGACTACGAGGACAGGATGCTTATGAGCAGTGACGAGCCGCTCTAGCTGACGGCGGTAACCAAAACTGGGAGTTCCGTTGACAACGGGAGTTCCAGGTTTGGTTCCGAGGTTGTGATTTAGCTTAGGTGCTTGTTCGTTTGCCACGGAAAATGCGGTGGTTTGGCGGACCCAATGGCATCCGAAGCAAACAAAGTACTCCCGAAGTTCCCGCAATGCCCGCAGCAGACGTGGCTATTGATCGATATACTAGGAGAACTCTCCACGGATGGTTCAGCTGAGCCGACAATTTTGACAGAGTGGAATGCTCCCGTGAAGAGTTCTGGGCCTTGGAAGCATGAGTCGCACCTGGGCTTTGCAGTTCCACGTCATAGCTATGGGAATCTGAATCAGGTTAGCCCTCTGACCTGGGGGGAATGACATGGCGTTTGGACGCCATGGGCTGATGACGAAATCACTGACGCGACCTGGGTCAATCTATCCCGCTGTATGAGCTACGACGCGCTGCGGCTTAGCGGGATTCGCGTCAGGGTTTCGGGGATTGGTCACAGGCCTTTGTTTTGGCGTTGCAGTCAGCTGCGGCAAGGTCGAGGGTGTGAGAAGGTTGCAGGCGAACCAAATCCAAGTTCAGATCTGTTACACCAAAGGTTCGTACTCGTATGAGATATTAGGTCGTAATTCAAAAAATTGATTGGTAGTTAACCATCACA